GTCATTGCTTTCCAAACTTGGCAGACATCACTCTAGGCTTAATTCAGTACGTTATGCCAAATTTCGTGCAAATCAAGAGAATACAGAGGGACTTTGGGGCACCATTTACATGAAATCCGAAACTATATATGGGAGCTATATCTATATCTATGACATCTATATCTAAATCTGGACCGATTTTCACGACCCTGGAGCACATCATTCTAGGCTCAATTCAGTACGTTATGACACATTTCGTACAAATCGAAACATATATAGGGACTTTGGTGCACGATTTACATGAAATCGTACGAAACTATATATGGGAGCTATACCTAAATCTGAACCGATTTTCACGAAACTTGGCAGACATCATTCTAGGCTCAATTTAGTACGTTGTACCAAATTTCGTGCAAATCGACAGATATAAAGGGCCTTTTTGCACCATTTACTTTAAATGGAACGAAAATATATATGGGAGCTATATCTAAATCTGAACCGATTTTTCCCAATTTCAATAGGGTTCGTCCTTGGGCCAAATAAATGAGCTGTGCCAAATTTCATTCAATTCGAATCAAAAATTCGACCTATGCTTTGTTTAAAATTTAACATAGACAGACAGACGGATTAAAAAGTTATTTTATGTATATTCTGAAAAGGAACCATGTGTCTATCTCGTTTGCTTTTGCCTGCTAAACCATTTACAATTGACCAGAACCTGACAGAATTGGGCAACAGGAAAGGTGCCGTAACATCGCCCAGGAACTAAAAATGGACCATAAAGCTGTTTTAAACCATTTAAAATTGACCAGAATTGGGCAACAGGAAAGGTGTCGTGTTCCACCATGACAATGCTTGGCCACACATATCTACAGTGACTCGCCCGAAACTTCGGGAGCTTGGTTGAGAAGTTTTAATGCATCCGCCATACAGACCTGACTTGGCCCCAAGCGATTGTCATATTTTTATTGTATTGCAAAATTTCTTTAGTGATAAATAATTGGTCTACTACTCGTGTTTTTTTGCAAATAGAGAGCAAGACTTCTATGAGAGAGGTTACCTTTAAAATGGCAAAGAATCGGTGCAAATCGGACATGCCGAAGCATATTAAATAAAGTCCTATAGTTCATATACAAATAACGGAATTTAAATATACATTTTATGGCGAAAATTTTGGTAGAATATTCTGACCTGCTATAACCCCATTTTAAATGAATTTTCAATCATCTCTGGAAATGGGGGCCGAAAATACCCCTTTAGCGTCTCGATTGAGAGTAAACCTATTAGACAAAAATATTTCTCACATGTATATCAGTAGCAATGGAAATGGCAGCAAATGTCTTGGAAATGGGCAATATTGTTTTTAAGTTACCTTCGTTGCGATCATGGCGACGTTTCCACCTTCTAGTGGTGCAATGATAATACTTAACCATATCAACAATTCCCTGTAAATATTTATGTATAATTCTAGAATCCAATGATATACGTGAACTTCCCTGTCTATGTCGCTCCGGGGTAAAAATACACGCCATAGAATGTATAATTTGACATTTTTCACACAAAAGTCTGGGTCTGTTTGACCCGCAAAATACTGAGCGATTATCATGAAAATGGACAGGCTTATTCCATGGTCAGATCTCCTTCTCTGTTTACAATTTCATGATGTTCGGGTCGTAATTGTAGCCCTTAGAGCGAAAACATACAAACATATAGTAATTGATCCTTGACCGGTCATTTTTCTTTTGCCGCAACCTACTTGCAAAATTTCATAACTATTAGTACGCAACTGTGGACAGACGGACACTCATGTCTAGATCGTCTCAGCTAGTCCAGATATGACGACCAGTATTCTAGAAGGTGAGTCTAAGACCAATATTTCGCGGGGTTGTGTAGTTTACAATGGGGTGGGATCATTTGTCGTACCATGAATCTATATTGAATTTTGCTTTAACCCCGCAATGCCAAATTACAGTAACTACGACGGGACAATGTGCCAGCGACAATGAAAACATTCAGGATGGGGCGGAATTTCTATATTGAGGACCTATATTAGACATTTTCGCAATATCAAATATGGTAGGAGTAGTTACGAAGTCTACAAATTCTTTTCTTTGACGAATTCTTTATACCTAGAATAGAACCAATGTGCGGGCCAGTATAATCGGACGGGGCCAACCCTACACAACAACCACGAAAATTTAATTTTCTGCGTTTCTATATTCTGAGAGTGGGTAATATTTCGCGATGTTTGCTCCCTTTTGCCTCATTAAAGGTCAACAGCTCCACTTTTTAGCCTTGGCATATTTTCCAAATTTTCCTTTTCCGAGATGAATAATTGCGCCATAAAATATAAATTTGGTCACTTCAAGTTTTGCTGGATTTGACCCTCGGAATATTGATTGATCATCATCTAAACAGGCGTTTAAAATATTTGGTCAGATCCCCTTAACAATGTAAAATATGTGATGTTCGGCATATAATAATAGCCTATATAGCGACTAGAAAATCTAACAAAAATAAAGTTTTCGGTTCATTACACCCCCTAAATAGAATCTCAAAATCACCGATAGGTATTGGCATCGTCCTTGACCATAACCGCAACTTCATGTATTATTTCAAAGCAACAAGGGCGACAATTTCACCCTCTATGGGGGCCCTCTATTGGGGCGAAAATGTGTTACTAAAAAATATCATAACACATAGACTCCACACATAACTCCAACACCCGAGTACATAGATGAATATAATTAGTATCTATATCAGGGGCAATCATTCTCTTGGATAAACTATCAACTTCCCGGGGATATATCCTTCAGGAGTAACTATATACGCTCCAGAATATAAATATTGACTGATCTTCTTCAAAACAGTCAAGCTTATTCTTTGGCCAGGTTTCCTTCCTGGTGTAAAATTGTGGCGGTAATTTATTTATCCGGGTTCTTGGAGGATGATTACTAGTTTGCAAAAATATTTCGATATAGGGCCAAGTTTTGACATATCCCGTAGGGGATAACTCTCGGTTTTCGTTATAGCAAAATTTCCCCATCAATATACAACCACATTCGCATGGATCCGCCCACATACAGGAGGAGTCTCCTCATTTTCGGTATTTTGATGGTTAAACCGAAATTCTTCACCGAAGTACCTGTGATTTGGCACTCAGAATTAGTGAAGTGAAAACATCTTTGCAGAAGATGTTTGATGCTAGGTCATGTTTTGTCACGTCGCTATATTAACAAAGTGCCCATAATTTTCCGTATATTGTAGATTTTAGCCGCATGTTTCCACAAAGCTACTGAAATTTGGCATTCCGGATTCCTGTTGAATTACTTCGCAGAATGTTTAATACTTTCTTATATTGCCGTGTTTTTAAATAGCCACCATGTAAAGGTTCCACCCAATTTTCGATGTGTTGAAGCTACTAGCACATGTTTCCATCTTGAGTGTCTGGAACTACAATGACATAGTCCCCATATAGAAATCCTGAGCGTTTTAAGAATTTTTGAATCACATATGTTGGTGTGTATAAAAAGTTCGACACAGCGTTTTTAGTTGTTGTGGTTGATCTACCCTTATCCTTATCATTTTCAATGTTATTTAAAAAATAACATTTGATATGTTTCGAATTTATTATGAATGGTAGTGGTACAGAAAATACATCATCTTTTGAAAGGCCTACAATTTTTATCAAGAATTCGCAGTTGATAAATTATATTATTTGAAACCATTACTGATGGTTTCGAAATGCCTCACTTGTTTTTCGTCCTCCAAGAAATAAATACGCCTATTATTCACGAAATTGTCATGGTATCAAAAGAGCTTTTAATTTGAAAGATTTTTAATAAAATTGAAAAAGACGATTACAAAAAAAAAAGAAAATCCAAAATATTGGTCATTTGAAATCCTAATGGTCTTACGTACATATCTATGTAGGTGGGCACATACTCATGTGTCTATGTTTTTATTTAATATACCAATTTCATTGATGAGTCTAACAATGATCCATTTTAAATACGATATTTTACTTGGAAATTGTATTTATTTACAACGCACACACATACATTCGCCCACACACATTCACTAAAATGTCTATTGACAATTTTTATTTCATCAAATTGATTTACTTACATTTGCCCAAAAAATATTTGAAATACCAACGTGTCTGATGTTCGGGATTTTCCAATATTGGTGTACTGGGCGAGCCGAATACCTGTAAATAAAAAAGAGAAGACAAAACAAAGAATGAATGAAACATAAAAAGCATGTTAAAATTCTCAATTGAAAAGCCTCAGTATGTTGAAATACAATCAATTTTTGTCAATGTGAATTAGGATTCTGCATTGGTGGAGGAGGAGGATATGGGCTGGGTGTTTATTTTCAATTGTGTTTAAAGGACATATTTTTTTTTTTTCAAATTTCTGTCAACTGCAATCAATCAAATGTCAAAATACTTTAAACATACGTTAGGTGAAATCTTCATACAATGACAAATACATAAATATACACATACATACATGCCTACATATATATTTATATTGTCTTGTTTTAATACGGATGTGATATGCTGTTATTGTCGTTGTTGTTATTGGAATATATATATACAAGAAAGCATGACAGTACCAGACAAATGTATGAGCAAATTTGTGGAATTGATTCACATATATGTACGTAGGTAGGTGTATTTATGCATGTGTGTTTGTATCTATGACCGTATGTCTGTTATTTGTATAAGGCATTGGAATGATTCCTAGCCATTGGCGAAATTAATGTTTTTATATTTTAAAATCACATACAAATAAATGGTTTCATTTTATTTTCTGTTTCTTTTTTTCAATCTCACATAAAGCACCCCACATGGCTTTAAGAGGTATTATCCTGGGGCTGTTGTTGTTAAATTGCAATGTTTATTTCCACAGGGGTATGTTATTATGAAATGAAGCATTAAGTTATGACTGTGTAATGCCATACATCTATAATTCTATATGCCAACATAATATGTTTTATATGAAATTATAACATAGATAATGGCATTTAGGCTCAAATAAATGCCAAATAGACATACCGATTTTTATCCAGAGATTTAATACAAATAAAAATGGAAAATATGATTTGATAGATTGGGAGTTTATTTGAATGACAACAAAATTATTTTGTCTACGTAAAAGTGAAACATCTACATCTGAATGTAATATATATCCGTAAATTTTATAAATCACTACTCGATGTTTTGCAGATTTTCCGCAGAATTGACTGTACTCTTGTATTCCTGCTTACCATTGAACAAGAAATGCCTTTGTCAGTGTAAGTCTTATTTTAATGCAGCCTCTACATAACACCACACTTCTAAATTGGTTTTGTCTTTTAAGAGTGCAATACCGTTTCTCAAACTTGAAATATTATTTTCTCGAGATATTGTTTTACGACTGGTGGGTGCTATTAATACAATCAGTTCCAAATTTAGGATAATTCACGTAGACAAATATCTTCTTTATTTTTAATACCATTGCCTTAAGGCATACTCCCCAGCCTAGAGGTAATCATTTCAGTCTGGTTGACAAATACCTGCATGACTGGATAGTGTACACGATCACTCTTCAAAGTAGTTGCCGATTTAAGCCAAACTGCACATTTCTTCCCGGCCTAAATCAAATTTATATTAGGTTGGGGAATGTTAGGAGTCGTAACATCACCCAGGAGCTCGATGTTTGGGTGCCAAATCAATTAACAGAAAAAAATAGGATAGATCGAATTTCCATCTGCGAGGCCTTGACCAAACAGAATGAGATATACCCATTTCTTAAACGGATGGTGACTGGAGGTGAGAAATGGATCACATATGATAACCCTGTGCGAAAACGATCGTGGTCAAAGAGCGGTGAAGTACCTCAAACGGTAGCTAAACCGGGACTAACGACCAGGATGGTTCTGCTAAGCATTTAGTGGCACTGGAACTATTGGGATTATTTATTATGAATTGCTTCCATTGGCCCAAAGCTAAATTCTGTTCTCTACTGTCAACAACTGGACCGTTTGAAGATAGCAATTGACCAGAAACCAACGAAATTTGCCAACAGGAGAGGTGCCGTGTTCCACCAGGACAAAGCTAGGCCACCCCCATCTACAGTGACTCGCCAGAAAGTTCGGGAGCCATACAGTCCAGACTTGGCACCAAGGAATTATCGTGTTTTTCTTGCATTGAAAAATTTCTTTAAAGAAAAAAAATTGGTATCTAGGGAGGATTGTGAAAATCAACTTCTAGAGTAAATAGAGAGCAGGACAATGGCATATTTGGCCCAAATCGGAAATTCCGAAGCATGTTAAATTAAGTCCTATAGTTCATATAAAAATATCATAATATATCTTGCAAAATGTATTGTATTTAAAAACATAGAAAATATAAACCTTTATGGGGAGTACCTGAGGGAGTGGAACAATGTGTCTCATCTTCGGATTTGATCTTGCTAGGTAAAGTTAATAGATCGTGCTAAGTGTAGTGCAAATCGGACATTCCATTCGCCTAATATGGCTTTAAAAAAAAAGTATTGAAAATGTTGACTTTTGTGGGGGAGGACCTGAAGGAGGGGATCAATGGATCCTACCTTCGGCATGATCTAGGCTTGGTAAAATAATAGGTTTTCAGAGTTTGGTTCTAAGCTGTTAGTTCATTCGTATGATAAAAAATAAATTTTCAGCAAAATGTTTATCATTTTGTGGGAGAATTACTCTAAAAGACTCCGCATCTTCGAACATAAATTAAGGGGACCCCCCATTCTCGGGGTCACATTTTTTTTTTGATTTAATTCGATTTTACACTAATTCAAGAATGTCTCTACAAAATTTCAAGTGAAAATCTCAAGAGCTCTTGAATATATATAGCCGATTTATTGTGTCAGCATCAAGTGCCGAACGACATGACAATATAGAAAGCAATCTCTCTGATATATATATTGAATACCTTCAGTACATTTCCATTTTTATTGGCGAAAACTTTACGCAATTCTTAGACAGCATATTTGAATAGCAAAATTTTGTATATAAATAAAACCACGCACTTCCATCATTGTTCGCAAGCCATCAAAGAAGGTTATATACATAAGTATATTACGCAAAACATTATTTAATGAGGTACTTCAGCACTCGTTGTCTTAATTATTGCAAAAAAAGTTGTTCAGTTATAATTGGAAAACTTACAAAATGACTAGCTATGAAAATTAATTCTCTTATTGTTGCAATTAACTTGTTGCTATACAAGTCAGAATAAATACCCGCGCGCACACACACAACTGTTTTGAGAAGCGCCTTAGATGAGGAAAAAGTTTAATGAAATCTTTGCGGCTAAAGTGTATTGTCAAGTAGTGAGTGGTAGCTGACTTTGGATTACCACAAATCCGTTTGTTTTGGCGAGATAATTGTTGCGACCTTCAGTAATACTTATTTAATGGCGGGGATTTAAAGAAAAAGGAATATAGATAATATTTTACTTCAATTACTTTTAACTTCAAGAATATGTTCCTGCATTAAACAATTTAATGTGTTATGTTTATTTATTTTATATCACAAAAATATAAATTATATTCCCAAATATGTTTTTAATTAATTTTTTGGTGGCGATGGCTTATTAGAGTGATTTATGAGCAAATAAAACAAGTCATTATTATTTCATTGTAACCATGAAAAAGCAACATGTTACCATCCATATTAATAACAATACAATTTTATTGTTAAAACAGTTTGTGTTATAACCATTAGGTTTAAATTTTCACCACATTATGACAACACAGGCTAAGCTCATATGAAATATGACTTGCTATATTCATTGTTCATCCTATAATGAACAATGAAACTAACATCATCTGATTTCGATGGAGTTGGAAACAATTTTTAATTTTTGTTGTCCTAATTTTGTTGTTTTTAGCATATTTCATTTTATTTTCTGTATTGTTTTGTTTCTGATAATAAAATATGTCTGCATATATCAATTTTTATGCGAACAATGGAACAGTTTGTGGTAATGAGCACTATATATATATTATATATATATATATATATATTATTTAGTGTATAATGATCTGAAACATTTTCAAACTGCGGGACATATGATAAGCCATTTTAACAATTAAATTACGAGATCGGAATCTTTATTTTTAAATTTCGTGAGTTACGGCGAAAACAGCGCATCTGGAAAACTAAAGAAGGAGACCATTAAGGGGGCGAAGGATGCGGTCAAAAAAAAGATCATGCATAACCTGCTTCAAACGGCGGAGGGACCCCATTAATCTGGATATTTGCAGTTTCAAGGGGGACTATTGGGGTTTGGGATCGAGAATTCCAGGATTTCCCGATTTTTTGACATCGATAATCCCGGGATTTCCCGATACTATTTCTCGGGAATACGGGAAATAACATTTCTAAATAAATATAAGTACAGAATTAAACATTTCAATACTAAAAGCATAACCAGAATTGATCCATCCGTCGTAATAATTGCCACCGATAATACAACAACTACAAGGGGACACTATTTTAATGTGTGTATAAGAGAAAGATACTCATTTTTAAACTGATTTATATAACAGGCAGTTTCAATATTCTAAAAAATGATTGAAGAAAAACTGCTGGAATTATGTTTTGAAACCCATATTGTAGCAACTGCTTCAGGTAGGGCGAACGCCACGAACAAATTTATTCTGAATGTCCTATAGAAGGGTTCTTTTGCATGAATAGTACCATACATTAACATTTTTGTTCATGCTGGCTTAAATATTGAAAGATGAACAAACTTCCATCGTCTTGTCAATTTCACAGATATTACCAAAAGAATTAAGTGACCAACGTGACTAAAAGGTATGTTTAAGAGATCCAGATATTTTAGGGAATACGGATTTGCCAAAAAATGTCGCAAAGGTGTATGCAGTAGATATTTAAGTTTTCAATGAAGTGTAGTCTGGAATGAAAATTTTGAATTTCCGATTTCCCGGGAATGAAAAAAGTCGGGAATTCCCAAACCCTAGGGACTATCTTATGCTAGAGTTTGAGTCATCAAAGAGCCCTGAGAAAACTATTGGCAGATATCGTCCCAATACACGAGACCTTCTCAACTACAAAAGGCAACGGTTTTCATGCGTACTTAAAGGTATACCATATTGGACTGGTATACCATATTGGATATCGAGGGAGCTTTTAATAATGTCGGCACTGAAACACTTTTCCAATCCTCAGAGACCTTTCGAAATGACCACTGAGCCTGGGCCAGCCACATGCTAAAGAATAATTATCCATTATCCATAAAGAATAATTATCCATATTCCTTAGCATGTGGCTGGCCCTGTAGCCAAATAAATGCATTATTTTTTCGGCAGATGGATGTACTCGTAAAGTATCGATCAAACAATTTCAGATTTATGCTCGTTGGAAGTGTGACATTTCCCAGTAAACAAGTTTTTTGCTGTTTTTCATTGGTGCATTCAGTTGTGAGTTACAGGGTGTTAAAAATGTCGTCGGTCGTCGAAAATGTCGATAAAATCGGAGAAATGATCGAAGTTGACCGGCATGTTAGTAGTCGTAGAATCCACAGGAGCTAAAAATCTACCAATAAACTGTAGCAAACCATTTACAATTGACCAGAAACGGCCAGATTTGACCAACAGGAGAGGTGTCGTGTTCCACCAGGACAACGCTAGGCCACACACAGTGACTCGCCATAAACTTCGGGAGCTTGGTTGGGAAGTTTTAATGCATCCGTCATATAGTCCGGACTTGGCACCAAGCAATTACCATCAGTTTCTTGTATTACAAAATTTCTTGTCCGTCCGTTTGTCGCCACTTATTTGGCCCAAGGACCTATTGAAATTGGAGAAAATCGGTTCAGATTTAGATATAGCTCCAATATATATTTTCTCCTGATTTTACCTTAGTGGTGCATTAAACACCCAATATTTGTGCGATCGAGATGACATTTTGCACATCGTACTAAATTAGGTCCAGTTTAATGTTTGTGAAGTTTTTTTTTTATATCGGTTCAGATTTAGATATAGCTTCCATATATAGTTGTGTCTGATTTTATGTAAATGGTGCCCTAAACTCCCAATATTTGTCCGATTAAGGGAGAATGTTGCATAGCGCACTGAAATATATCCATATTGATGTATGTTAAGTGTTGTTGAAATCGCTTCAGATTTAGATATAGCTTCCATATAGTTTCGTCCGATTTTTTGTAGATGGTACACCAAGCTCCCAATATTTGTCCAACTGAGTACTGAGTTGGGTCCAGATGGACGTATGCCAAGTTTTGTTGTCCAACTGTGTACTGAGTTAGGTCCATATGGACGTATGCCAAGTTTTGTTGAAATGGGTTCAGATTTTGATACAGCTTCCAAATGAATTTTTGTCCGATTTTATGTAAATGGTGCAATGAAGAGCCTAAGAAACACGAATTTTGAAAGTCGTGAATTTAGAGTGATGTATATTAAAGTTGCTAAAATCGATTTAGATTTGGATATATCTCCCATATATATTTTCGTCTGATTTTATGAAAATGGAATCTCTAAGTCTGTTCCATATACACGAGAAAAAATTTTGGACAGCGCACTGTGCTGCATTATACCAAATGGTATATGCCACGGTTGCTCATTTAGGTCCAAATACATATGTACATCAACGAATCCAAGTTTCCCTGATTGACCTGGCATTTTTCATAGATTTCAGAATGGTATGTGTATGGGGTTTTTTAATAAATTCAATTATCTATGAAGATCACACATTTACTTTCGCCCGATTCTATTTCAAAGTTCCTTTAAAGACGATATGTATGTTCTATATACAAGATATATATATATATTTGAATCGATTTTATGTACCCAAAGTGGTGAAAGGTATCATATAGTCGGCTCAGCCCGACTTTTGATCTTTCCTTACTGGTTTAAAATAGCTCATGTTTTAAGGTCCCGCCCATTTTGAAAGTTTTTTCGTATTTTAACGCCAAAATGTCTGTAATTCGACATTCCAGGTTTTTGGAGGCTGACATATTTTTATGCCGAAAATTACCAATATATGTCCACATTTTGACATAGCCTCTGTTTTCGTTCTCTAGACACAGTATCCCATCGAAGTGAATCATTCCGGATTATTGAAGGGGAACAACATATTATTTTTTTAACTTTTCGACATAGGCACATGCTTGACCCATATTTTTACAGAAATGGCTGTAATTTGATATTCAGGGTTCTTGGATGGTGCAAATCATCTTTGCAGAAATTTGTCGATATAGGACTATTGGTTATTCGTTACTTTTAATTTTTGTATAGTGTATATTTAATAAGCTTACATTTCGAAATAAAATTGTTAAGCATAATGGAATCCCATTTTCAACATTACAAAATACCATTATTATTAAAGTTTATCCATTTATATTATTTAGCTGCTTTCCGAATCTACTATTATAAACCGCCTATCATCTTTACAACATTCAGTGACAGCCCTGAGTGTGCACTTTTCACAGCGGCTTGTTAAAATACACAGCAGTATTTTGTTGTTGTTGTTGTGGTAGTTGTTTTTGTCTCCTCATTCACTTGTACTTTTGCTTGTGGTTTGTCCATGATTTTGTCAGTTATTTTTTATTGTTGTTACCATAACGAGGAGCATTTTCATTCTTAAAGGCGGTATTCATTTGTGCCACAATTCATTCATTCACTTTACTGGGTATTCATATAACTAACCGGTTGTCTCGTACATTTCTTAATGTCACATGTTGTGCTGTTAGTTTTGCCAACTATTTTTTCCCTTTCAGGTCCTCCTCTAAGCCACCTGTACACACACTTGCTGTGGTAGTCGTCATACTCATGGTAGTTGTTATAATAATGTAAACAGGCACGGCACACCCACCCACATACTCTTCAAACTATTCTTACACGTTTTTTTGCAGCCATGAATATATGACATTTATGAAAAACGAAAAAAAAGTTCTCTGTATAATGAAGAAGAGCTTTTCCTTATAGTCAGCCATCAGAAACATAATCAGGATGGGAGAAAATGTGCTGGCTGGCAAAGTCACAACGTTGTGGTCTGTCTTTGTGGACAAATTGTAGAGTTTATGTAAAATGTAGGTGCAGACTTAAAATTAGTGAATAAATTTTAATATTTATATTATACAAGGACCATATTCTCATTCATTTTTAGGGGGATACATTTTTAATTACTTCGTAGATTTATGAGAATACGGAAAATAGTGGTGCATTTAATGATGTAAAGAATAAATGCATATTGGAAGACATTCAAAATTCTTTAAATTGGTACTTTACAACATCATGAGTATAGACATTTCAGAGCAAAATATCAATGATTTATCATAAATATATTTGGATTAACCGTGTTAAAAAATGTTACTATACCCTCCAACTGTTATAGGATGGGATATTTAACATGGGATTACTCTAAATTTTACTTACCTCATCTTTTTCAGCAAGAGATTCTCCATTTTCAACACGAAATCGTTTAAAGTTGGGATCAATGCCATCCAAATCTGTTTGGGGTAACTAAAAAATAAAATTAAATCTGTCAGTTTTACATAAAAATTAAGATGGTAAAATATTTTAAAAAGAAAAATGTGTCTTTCCGTTTGCAACTCCTAGAAATATTAATGAAGGAAATCACTATAGATATGCCTATATTATCGATATCAACTGCAAATCTGGCTCGGATTTGAACTAGGAAACTTATTTTTGGAAAATTGCCAATTTTCTACAAAAATAAAAATAGGGAAGAGAGATTCATCGATAGAATTTATCCTACGATCGGTATGTAGGTCCTTCTGGATGTGCCAACAAAAACCTGCACCGATATATGCCACTTGCAATACCAAATCTCAAAGGAGTGCTCGCAATGGCTGCGCTAAATTTCAGAGCTCTATCTTAGATATTGCGATGTCTATCGTTATTTCAACAATAAAATATTTCGACTCTACCTTATGGTGTAGTCTTAAAAAATGCAGCACAGCCAGCCACAACTTCAACAAAAAGAAAACCCAGTAAGTCAAGTAGTAAAGTCGGACTGGGCCGACTATATGATACCCTTCACCTCTTTGGGTACATTATACATGTGTATCGTAACAGACGTCGCCTTTTCTAAGGAACATTGACATGAAATTGAACGAACTTAAATCTAAATCTAACCCGATTTTCTTGAAACTTAACACACGAGCTATGGTAGGGAGAGATTTCCATCTCAAAGGCACGAAAATCCCCATGATTATGCAGAACACCAACATCAACTGTGAATACAAGTACAGAAAAAACCACAACATTGCTGTAAATACACTTGTCATGAGCGAACAAATATATAAAAGAGGTTGTTAGAAATACTTCACCGTATAAAACATTCAATTATAGTAACTTCAGTACATTGTACAAAATTGTGTGCCCGTCGGCCTTTAGTGCACAAATAAATCGTTCAAAAATATATATGGGAGCTAAATCTGAACTGATTTCCAAAACCTTTCACACACCATTCTGCACCTAATTCTGAACTCTATGCCAACTTTTATGCAAATCGAAAGATATATAGGGTCTTTGGTGCACCATTTACATTAAATCGGGCGAAAAAATTTCTATATATATGGGAGCTATATCTAAATCTGGATCGACTTTCACTAAACTTGGCAGACATCATTCTAAGCTCAATTCAGTACGTTATGCCAAATTTTGAAATGTATATAGGGATTTTTTTGTTTTTGCAAAATAGTCAGGCTGAATCCCAGTTTGTTGTTTTTAAAAAAAAAAACAACTATTTATTATTGGGGAATGTATGGCATTGTTTGCCGAGGAGTAAGGCAGGGAAGACTATAGTTTCGGATCACGCCACTGATCCTCATCAGTTACCTTAGTTTTTTGTTAGGATATTCTCCCCAGAAGCTATTGCTTCTATACAAAAAACCTTTCATACCCAATAGCTTCTGGGGAGAATATCCTAACAAAAAACTAAGGGAACTGATGAGGATCAGTGGCGTGATCCGAAACTATAGTCTTCCCTGCCTTACCCCTAGGCAAACAATGCCATACATTCCCCACTAATAAATAGTTGTTTTTTATAAAAACAACAAACTGGGATTCAGCCTGACTATTTTGCAAAAACAAAATACAAATGGTATCCCAAATAAACCGCCAACACTACTGTATATAGGGAATTTGGTGCACCATTCGGACGAAAATATATATGGGAGCTATATCTAAATCTAAACCGATTTTTCCCAATTTCAATAGAGTTAGTCCGTGGGTCAAATATATGAGCCGTGGCAAATTTCATCCAATTCGAATTATAAATGCGACTTGTACTTTTTTTACAATTTAACACCAACAGACGGACATGTATAAATCGACTCAGAAAGTGATTCTATGCATATTCTCAAAAGGAACTATGGGTCTAACTCGTTTCCTTTTGCCTGTTACAAACATATGCACAAAGACATAATACCCGGTGCCACAGTGTGGTGAAGGGTATAAATAGGGAAGACCTTCTCCTACTAAAGCTATATAGGTCCAAAATAACGTGTCAAAATTTGGAACCCATTGAATTAATAGAGTCTATGGTGCATTGTTTACTTAAAATCGGATGAAAATATATATGGGAATCTATATCCAAATCTGAAGGGATTTCAAAGAAACTTTCCAAACGTTACTAACATCAGTATGTTGTGCAAAATGTTAAGTCAATCGGACTAACTCCGGGTTTTTGGTGCACCAATAACTTAAAATCAGACTAAAATATATATGGGAGCTATATATAAATCTTTGGTGCACCATTTACATAAACTCGCACGATAATATATATAGGAGCTATATCTAAATCTAGCTATATCATTCTATACTTCCTTTTTTATTTTTTGAAAAAACCGGATGAATCGAATTTCCATCTGCGAAGCTTTGGTCAAACGGAATGAGATAGACTCATTTCATAAACGTATGGTGACTGGAGATGATAGCGGTAAAGGATCTCAAACGGAGGCCAAACCAGGAAGGTTCTGAGTTTTTCGCAAGTAGAGAGCAGGACTTCTATGAGAGAGGCTTTATTAAGCTACCTTAAAAATGGCAACAAATCATACAACAAAACGGTGCATGTTTGGCCCAAATCGGACATTCCCAATCATGTTATAGTTCATATAAAAATAATGAATTTATTTTTCCTCAACCAATATTGCGAGCTTTGTCGTGATTTCAACAGACAGAGGGATGTGAACTTGTATTTTGATCAAGAATTTGTATTATATTTTTATGAATAATTATCATAACCTGCAACCCATCAATCAATTTTCATTTTACTCATAAGTCATTTCATGTCATGTCCCACAGATTACGCAAATTTTTCAATTAGTCTCAAGCTCATAAGAGTATTTGTGTTTCACAAAAAAAAAAAAAAAAAACTGCAGGACAAAACAACAAACTATACAATATCACGCACTTGTCATTCAATGTTCATAAATATTTACTTAGCTTACAGAAATCCTAAAAGATTTCACTGCATATAAACTACACTGTTATCTTTTCATACGTTTTAATATTTTAAACCCCAAGCTACAATCACAGTCACCCCTGCACCCCCCTCCCCAATGTACCATGTACATACATTGCGTTTAGGTACAATGTAAATATTCAGCTTATAAAAAGATATGAGTAATTAACACGCCCCAACATGCATACGAGGTATTCGTGTACGACAACGGGATTACATCAGGTGTAAGTTTCTTGAATTACTGAAGAGTGATGGTGATTTCAAAAAATAGCGGCAATGTCATTTGGAATGGCATGAGATTGTACACAAAGATATTTTTTGCGTAGTTACAGATGACATATGTAACCTATATGTAAATACATATGAATGAAAATTTTTATGCATGGACACATATATGTATGTTAGGATGTATGCACATGAGAGAGTAATTCGTCCATTCATGTGAATCTTTACAGAAAACAAATTGACTTGATTTCAATAGAAATACAAAATATCTGCAAACTCGTAGCTTATTCACCTCGCTAGTCTCATTCATAAATACAGTTTTTAACCTAGATGCCAATTCATCTATACAAACGGGTATGTATACCAGCCATCCTCATCATATGTCCTCCCTATTCTTATTTGGCGTCATCATAAAACATTTCTATGTTGTTTTCTAAGAAAAGTATAAATTGAAGAAAAAACGTAGATTTGTTCGAATTCTGTGCAAATGGTTCCACTCGTTCGAAACATATCAAATGGATAGGTTGATAAATTTAATAAATTCACTAAACAATGAAATGTCAATAAAATAGGATTTATCATTTGTATCATTTAGGGACAGTGTGATAGTCTTTTTTTACCGACCACCACTTTGTATGCCTGTCGCTTAAACAATATAGATATGACTTGGCCAATGGATGGACCACAGATTTGACTATCGTATGTTTCGGAAATAAGTTTTATACAAATCTATCAACATTTAGGGGGGATTTAAAGAGTTTTACAATATGAACCTGTCATCTAAAAAAAACTTAGCGATGTATATTATCGCTTCAAATAGTTTATCGGCAAAGGTCTACTGATAACGTGACCGATTCAAATAGTCTATAATAACTTTGCTATAATTTTGGAGTTTGCTTTGACTTGTACAAATGAAAACTAAGAACCTATGTAAAATTCACCATAAAGTGCTCTAAGCGATGCTCAATTCTTGACACCACAGTGGAATTGACTGGCTCGGATCCATTGCTTTACAAATTTATTAATTTTTGGACGATGGCAAAAAAAACACCCACACACACTCTTGGTTATAATATTTAGGAGATGAAATTAACCAAATGACCAATTTTTGTCCATTTCTCTGGTCGCTCCAGAAGCATGCATGGAGATCGGGATCGTGTCAAAAAATAAGCATGGACCCTGAATTTCCTGTGCAAAGTGCCAAAGTTTGAACTATATATTTAAGCCTGGATGAAATAGACCTGAGGAGTGGTTGACCTTTAAATTGATTCTGTGTATTCTTATACTGTTTGATATTATCATTACTACACTAGAGGTCGGAAATGTAGCTCTTATGGTTGGGAAATTTTGCGTGAGGTTCAGGTTATGGTCAAGGATAACGCCTATAATTTTCGATGATGATCATACGACATTTCGGAGAATCTTATGGAATGTTTTTTTTACTCCGGTAAAACATGATTCGGAATTGTTGCAGCAGAGGAGCTGTTGGCGTCTAATCGTCAATAGGTGCAAATATTGCCCAGACTCGGTATATAGATCCGCAGAAAATTAGAGTTCAATGATAGTTTTGTAGGTTATCGTAGGGTCGGCCCCGTGCGTCTATACTGCTCCGCTCACTGGTTTTTTAATAACATGTAAAAAAGTCGGTGTTGGCGATAGATGAATACCCTGAGGCAATTACAAACAGGTTTATTGTTCGATTTTTATTACTTACTTACTTAGCTGGCTTGTTACAGAACGGTTGTTCCATAAGCCGAGCTTAAAAAAGATTTCCAAGCACGTCGGTCTTGTGCGCAAATCCACCAAT